CTCTTCTGACACCACGCTGTTTGATTCCCAAGGGGGTGGGGGACGGCGGTGGGAGGGTTGGGATAGATGGTTCCTGAAGGGGGTTACTGAATGCTAGTATTGCCAGCCTCAGTCTGGTGCTTCCAGTAAAGTCCAGAGCCTCTCAGCATGTCTGTCCCTTGGGAGACTGGATTCTGTCTACTGATGGCATTGGTCTCATTGTACCTTTCTGCTCCAGACCCAGCATGCCGGCCAAGTGCTCTCCAGAGCCGGAAGTGATCTTAGTGCGGAGAGGTCACCTTGAAGGCTGCTCTTCTCACTTACCTGTAGAAAGGGGAGCGTTGCCAAGAGTGACTAATGGGGTGTTAAATGATCTTTAGAAATGAGAAGAGCAATGGTGTACATGACATCAGGAGGTTAGTACCAGGAGAGAGCGTGGTGATCGCACATTGTACTTAGATGTCCTTCTCCTGAACCATGGTTAGAGAGAGGCCCCCAAGTGGAAGACCATTCTAGAAACTGCAGATCACTAAAGCCGGATGGAGTCCATCTCCCTCATTTCATAAATGAGACCCAGGGATGGGGCGTGGCTCCTCCAATGAGCCAGGATGTTGATTTCATCACATCCCATTGTATGAGAGCAAACTGCAACACAGAAGTGAGAAGAACAAGCCTTGGGTTAGACCCTGTTTTTAAATTATTTCTATTTTAATGTGTGTGTATGTGTGTGTGTGTGTGTGTGTGTGTGTGTGTGTGTAGGTTTACCGATGTGTGGGTTCATGTACATATGTGTGTGGGTACATGTGTACATGTGTGTGCATTCATGTAGAGGCCAGAGGATGATGCCAGCTATTCTTTCCCACCCACCATCAGCCTTGTTTTTTGAGTCAGGCTCTCTTACTGAACTAGAACTTTCCAAGGAGGCTGGCTTGCAGTGAGCTCCAGGCACCCGCCTTCCTCACTGTCCCCAGCACTGGCATTACTCACATGCATGCCACCAACCCGGATAATTTTTACATGAAGGTTCTGGGGATCAAATGGATGTCCTTGCGCTTACCAAGGCAGTGCTCTGCTGTCTTAGCCATCTCAACCTGATATATGTTAGTCTCTTGAGTTGACACCCCAACTTTGTTAGATTATAGCTCCACTCCCCCCACCCAAATTTGTTAACCTCCCATCTACAGATGCAGAAACAGCTGGGCAGATTCTGTAGATCTGTGAGGATGAGAGGAGGAAATGTAGGTAAAGGCACATGAGTCCAAACCGAGGAATAAAGCAAAGGCTCATATTATGTATGCCTTTTAATCTACACGTGAATGTATTTCTATAAAATCTTCTAATCTAATGTTGTGTCAAATGACATGCTGTAAAGCCTGTATTTCCAAGGGCTTCGGTAGTTACAACCGACTCCTTTTGAAGGTAGATTTATGTGGCCATTTTGACTCTGTTATATCATTTTGGAAGGTTAGCACAGTATCTTTTACAAGGAAATATTACTTTGGTATTACTGAGCGAGGTAACACACCCCAGCAGACCTTGCTGCCTCCCCACTGGCACTGTTCTCTGAGGGGAGTTGCTTCTCAGTTGCAGAGTGGTGGATGTATCTGAGAGCTTTCCACTTGGGGCATCTCTTAATAATAGTGGAGAGAGTCAGGGCTTTTCTTAAGGGAAAAGAAACATCCATTGAGAACAGAAACCATCTCATTCACAGAGGCAGGTGTACTGTGTCCTGAACATTTTCCCCAATTCCTTTCCAGACAGCTGTGGCCTTAGGGTATTGGTTACGAGCTGGGGGATTGGTATGGCATGGTTAAGGATGCCATAGCAGATACTGCTGGAGGCAGCAGATCAGGACCTGGAGCATAACAGGCTGCTCAAGTGAAGATGGAGCAGAGAGCAGAAGCTTGATGTGTGGTTATGGGACAAGACTTGAGGACAGATTAGTTGCAGACTCCACAGTCTTACAACATTCATTATCCAGGTTTCCTAGTGACTGTAAAATCCTGTGTGTTTGGGGCAGAAGTCGGGGAGTTCAGAGATGATTGACAGATACCATTTAGATAGCTAATAGATAAGGGATAGAGAAGCTAGACCCATGGCTAATGCTTAGTTAATAGATTGATGGGTAGTGTGCTTAAATTCTATTGTTTTCCATTGTTGCTGTAACAAATCACCATAAACATAGTGCTAGAATAACATGGGTTGGTTTATGTTTTCAATTAACTTAAGTAAAATCTTTCCATGTTGCCCAGACTCATCTTGATCTCCTGTTTCTGCCTCCTGAGTGCTGGGACCAGGGGCTACCTATTGTGGAATATTAGTTAAAGATGTGTTGCATTCTTTTATGTTGCATTTGTTTAACTCTGTGTTACTTGGCCTGTTTAAAACACCTGACTTGTCTAATAAAGAGCTGAACACCCATAGCTAGGCAGGAGAGAGAAATAGGCGGGGCTGCCAGGCAGAAGGGATAAATAGGAGGAGAAGGGAGAAGAAAGGAGGAGTGAAAAAAGAAGGAGAGGAGGAGGTTTAGGGCCAGCCACACAGCCACACAGCCAGACATGGAGTAAGAAGGAAAGAAAAGATATACACAAATAGAGAAAGGTTAAAGCCTAGAGGCAAAAGGTAGATGGGATAATTTAAATTAAGAAAAGCTGGTTAGAAATAAGCCAACTAAGGCTGGGCATTCAAAGTAAGAATAAGTCTCTGTGTATTTATTTGGGAGCTGGGTGGCAAGCCCCCAAAGAACAAAGAGCCAAAGAGAAAAAAACAAAACTGAACCCAACTAACTGTAGCTACCATGTCTAGGAAATGTAGCTGTATAAGTCGAAGATTGATTAGTTAGCTTCTTGCTCAAGATTTCATAAAACCAAGATCAAGATGCTGCATAGGGTGTGGCCTTCCTGTGGGCTCTGGAATCAGTCCATTCGAAGGACCTGGCTAAACTCAGTTCCTTTGTGGTAAGACTGGGACTGCTGACTGGTTGTCCTCAGGGACCACTCTGTTCTATGAGACTTTGGTCCCTCCTCCTGCTCCCATGGGACAAGCCAAGATTTCTCTTCTGCCACATCTCTGTTGCTTCCTATTCCACATTGAAGGGCTCTTGAAGTCACATTTGGATCCACATGGTTGACTCATAATAATCTCCCTATTTTAAGGCCAGCTAAACTAAGCTTAGTTATATCGGCCAAATTCTCTTTCCAGAAGCACCTATGTTTGTGTTCCTTTGAATGATTAGTACAGGGGTGTGAACTTTGGAGGACATCTTTAGAATTCACCTGCCATGGGGAGATAGATGAATTAATGGCTTGCATGATGTTACAAATAGGCATCAGATTCATAGATGATAACTTAATAAATGGATGGATAGCCAGTTAGATAATAGTCAGACAGATGGGTTGATGGCAATATGTTAGACCCATAGTAGATCATAGTTGTTGTGTAACTACAAATGACTCTACAGATAAGGTTCATGGAAGGGCTGGAGAGATAGCTAAGCAGTTCTCAGCACCCACATGGTGGCTAATAACTTCCTGTAATTCCAGTCCCAGGGGATCTAACAACCTCTTCTGGTCTCCTCAGGCACCTGCCCTCACATGAACATATACCCCACACATACACATAATTAAAAACAATAAAAATAAATCCTTTTAAAAATAGGGTACAAATAAAATCCCACCCAGGAGTGAGTCTAAGGATATTATGGTCTGGCCTGTTTTCCTGTTACTTGGTTCTATATTTCTGAATCAATTAAATGTTCACTGTGTATCCCATACACCCAAACTGGTAGCTTTCCACTACTGAGGCTGATGTAAGAACCAGGTAGCTCTTTTAGTTTTTATAAGTAAAAGTCCCACATTCCATCTCTGTTTGTGCTTAGTGCACTCAAAACTACTTGCCAAACACCTACTTTGTTGAGATGTTTTATGCCAGAGGCACAATGATGTTCAAGGTAGACACAAGCTCTCACAAGCCCAACACTTGAGTGGGAAAGACTGGTAAAATACACAGTACCACTGTCAGGTGATCAATGCAATAAGAAGGGGGAACACATGTCAAAATTCATTGGTGGGTCCCATGCTCAGGCTTTTGAGAATCTGGGAAAACTTTATGCACCACAAGGATGGGAAGGGGTTGGTTATGTAAGGGAAGTGGCCGCCTCGAACACCCAAGCCTCATCAATTCTAATTCAGTAGCACTGGTTATTTCTGTTCCTAATTGCCCCTGCACAGATCTGTACATTTGCTGTGTATTTAGGATGCGTTCATACTTTCAAATGCAAATGTGCTCTGCAGAAATGTCTTCTGTTTGTGTAACTCAGCAAAAGTTCTCTGTGGCTCTGGCAGGGATATGGGCTTCGCAGCTTCTGATTTTGACTTAATTTTAATTTTCGTTTTAAGTAGGGAGAAAAGTCAATGCTTGCCAGAGGAGGGGCTGCTCCATGGCTCCGCTCCTCTCCTCTACCAAGGGGCCCTGCTTGGGCCCTGGCTTCCCCTGCTGAGCCTTTGGAGTTTACAGTCTGCCTTGAAAGTGAAAGCTGTACTCAGGGGAAAGTGCTGAAGCAGCAGGCTTCTGTGGAGCAATTCTCTGCCTCTGAGGTGACATCATACAGTGTGTGTGTGAGTGTGAGCGTGTGTGCGTGCACACAGAACTGGAGGAGCAGAAAAAACGGGAGTTAAGGACACTGGCTGCTGCCCTTCACTCTCATTCTTGAAGTCCAGTCTCAGATCATGTCAAGACACAGTTGAGCTCCCCCGGCAGTTTCTACAGGTGCCGGGGGAAAAGGGGTGCTGCAAAGGAGCTAGAATGGCTGCAAACAGCCTTTCTATTACATCTCCATTGGTGCTCTGTGTCCTTCCTACAGACAGTGGGCAGAGCTTGCAAAGCCCCTTGCTTCTGTTCCCTAACGCTCGCTGGGTTAAGAGTTTTAACTCGCTTTTCGGCTTTCGGCTCGGAGGAGGCTACGGTGCAGCTTTCTTCGGTCGTCCTGATTCCGGGTTCATCCGACACCAGCCGCCTCCACCATGCCGCCCAAGTTCCACCCCAACGAGATCAAAGTCATGTACTTGAGGTGCACCGGAGGTGAGGTCGGCGCCCCGTCCGCCTTGGCCCCCAAGATCGGCCCCCTGGGTCTGTCTCTAAAAAAAGTTGGTGGCCCCCTGGGTCTGTCTCTAAAAAAAGTTGGTGATACCCTGTCTCGAAAAACCAAAAAAAAAAAAAGTTGGTGATGACATTGCCAAGGCAACCGGAGACTGGAAAGGCCGGAGGATCACAGTGAAGCTGACCCTCCAGAACAGACAGGCCCAGATTGAGGTGGTACCCTCTGCCTCTGCCCTGATCATCAAATCCCTCAAGGAGCCACCAAGAGACAGAAAGAAGCAGAAGAACATTAAACACAGTGGAAACATCACTTTCGACGAGATCGTCAACATTGCCCGGCAGATGCGACACCGGTCTTTAGCCAGAGAACTTTCTGGAACTATTAAAGAGATCCTGGGTACTGCACAGTCTGTGGACTGCAATGTGGACGGGCGCCATCCTCATGACATCATTGACGACATCAACAGTGGTGTGGTGGAATGCCCAGCTAGTTAAGAAGCAACAACAGAGAATATTTCAATAAAAGACCATCTGTCTGAAAAAAAAAAGAGTTTTAACTCTGAGTTGAGTTTACAAAGAGAACAGAACAGTGCTGGGCTTCAGAGCCTTAATCCTAGTGTTTGAATCACAGCTTTATTCTGATTGTGTCAGAGTTGGTGCATCACTCAACCTCTGGGTGTCTCAGTTTCCAAATCTATAAAACGGGCTCAGAGAATTAATGGGTGTCAAGTATAATCCTAGTGGTTAATTACAGCTTTAATCGGTGCCAAGCATGCTGCATGGTTCTGATTCTTTAATACATCCTTTCAGTCTGAAGAAATGGCCATCGGGATCTTGTTTTATTGACCACGAGGTCATGTGGTTCATCAGGAATGTGAAACAGAAGGAGCGGCGCCGAGGCATGAATAAACAACAGAGGAATGGCTTTAGAGTTCTGGTTTCTGATCTTTTGGAACCCAAGCTCAAAGTTAAACTGAGATGTAGACCCAGTATTAATGTTGGTAATGAATTTTAGAACAAGGGGAAAAGGTACACCTTTAATTGGATTTTGCAGCACAATTTAGAATACATTTTGTACAAAATATATTCATGGATGATAAGCTTTATTCCAGTCTCTGCGTAGACAGGAGTGTATGCTGCATAATGGAAGGTTGTTCAGGAAGGTTAGCACTTGTGTCTCAGACGATGGAACTAGGTCCTTGCTTTTAGGATGTTTCTGGATTTGTCTAATTGACAGTTCTTTATTAGCAATCCACTTTCACTAAGCATTTTCACCATGCACAGGGTCTAAAACCTTTGGTTAGTGTGGTGATGTACTGTGTACCCTAATAAAATTTTTCTGAAGATCAGAGGACAGAACAAGACACTAGATTAAACACAGAGGTCAGGCAGCAGTGGCACACACCTTTAATCCTAGCACTCAGAAGGCAGAGATCTGTCTGGATCTCTGTGAGTTCAAAGCCACCCTAGACTACAAGAGATTGATTCAGTCTAGGAGAGAAACAGAGCCAGACAGTGGTGGCACACATCTTTAATCCCAATACTTGGGAGTCACAGCCTTTAATCCCAGCACTTGGGATTTCATGCCTTTGCTCCCAGTACTTGGGAGGCACACATGACTTTAATCCCAGCACTAAGAAGGAAGTAATGAATATGGCTGAGTGGAGAAAGGTACATAAGGTGTGAGGAGACAGGAACTAGAAGCTTTTTTGGCTGAAGTCTTTTTGGCAGGAGCCATTTTGGCTAAAGTCCCTTTTCAGGCTGAGAAGTTCTAGAAGTAAGATGTGGCAATGGCTTGTCCCTTTGTCTCTCTGATCTTTCAGCATTTACCCCAATACCTGATTCCAGGTTTTTTATTAAAAGACCAATTAAGATTTGTGCAATAGTTTGGCCCTTCCCACTACTTGCCTGTGTTTTTTATTAGCAATGAAACATTGATAATTTTATAAGAGATATGTAAGTTATATCTGTCAGAAATGATGGTGAAGAAAGGATGGAATGGGGAGCATGTCTCTCTCATACTTTAATTAATTTAGATGAGGCCGTGATCTACTTGAGGTGTTTGGGGCTTATAAGCACAGGATTGGGAAAGAATGACCATGTTTATTGGAGATGAAAAAACTGTGGACAATCAATATGGATAGAATCTTACATTTGTTCTAACTATTTAATTTTAGATATTTTCTTTATTTTCAATTGTGTGTCCAATGTGTATGTGTGTGTGTGTGTGTGTGTGTGTGTGAGAGAGAGAGAGAGAGAGAGAGAGAGAGAGAGTGTGTGTGTGTGTGTAGGTGCCTGTGGAGGCCAGCAGAGGGAACTGGTCTACCTGGAACAGAAGTTACAGGTGGTTGTGAACCACCTGATTGGGTACCTTTAATCGAAGGCGGAGCTTTTCTGTCCCGTGCGCCTGATCCCAAATAAACACACAGAAGCTTATATTAATTACAGAATGCTCAGACAATAGCTCAGGGTTATTGCTAACTAGCTCTTACATTTAAATCAACCCATTTCTATTAATCTAGGTATTGCCATGTGGCTGTGGCTTTACCAGTTCACTAGCATCTTGCTTCATGGGTGGCTCACTGGCAGCTCCCCTCCCCTGACTCTGCTCTTCTTCCCAGTCCTCAGTTTGATTGTCCTGCCTAACTTTATCCTGCCTCGCTATTGGCCAGACAGCTTTATTATTAACCAATGAGAGCAACACACATTCACAGCATACAGAAGGACATCCCACAGCAGGTACTGAGAAGAGAACTGAATCCAAATTCTCTTCAGGAGCAGCAAGAGCTCTCTTAACCATTGAACCATCTCTCTATCCCCAAATCAAGCATGAATGACTGGGCATGAACCATCTTCCAACTATTACTGTGCTGACTAATTTATGTCTACTTGACATAGACTAGAGACATTTGGGAAGAGGGAATCCCAATTGAGAAAATGCCTCCACCAAACTAGCCTGTAGTGCATTTTCTTGGTTGATGATTGATGTGGGAGGGCCCAGATTACTGTGGGAAGTCCTGTCCGTGGGCAGGTGGCCCTGGGTGCTATACAAAACCTGGCTGAGCAAGACATGGGGACCAAGACAGTAAGCAGCTGTTGCTCTATGGCCCCTGCTTCAGTTCCTGCCTCCAGGTTCCTACCCTGACTTCCTGAATGATGGATTTATAAGCAATAAGATAAAATAAACCCTTTCCTCCCCAAATTGCTTTTAGTCATGGTCTTCTACCACAGTGATAGAATCCCAACAAATATACTCACTAATTATGGATGATGTGTCAGGCACTAGACAAAAGAGATGAAAAATAGTGAGCCTTGGGTCTTATGGAGCTTACTGAAAGGAACAAGTACATTTAGTCTGAAAACGAGAAACCCCATTGAGAGTCACGATTATAGGCAAATACCAGAAAGGTGTCCAGTGTCTGTTGGGTCAGGGGACCTATCCTATATGCCATCGAAAGATACAATAGGCTGAAATCATAGGCCGCAAGGTAAGGAAGCAAATGAGGAAGAAGGCGATGCTTTCGAGGGAGCGAAGGCCTTGCCATTCTCAAGTCCCTCAAGGGAAGAGCCGGTAGCCTGTGGTGGCCCTGACTAATAGAGATGGCTTAGACTCTGGCAGCTCCATGCAGCGGGGAAGCTTTTGAGACACATTACAGCTTGGTGAATCACCAGATGCCAGTCCATGAGGACACACGCAGAAGTCATCGCTTAGACTGTCACACCGCTCAATTGCTGTCAGTGTGCGTCTTTTTTAAGGGTCAGGAGGGAGCCTGGGAGAAGACATGAGTCTATTTGGCCGAAACGTAAGAACTGTTCTGTTTTCTTGTGATTAAGACATTTATTTCTAACCAGCCTTGCTAGCAAAGAGGCCTCTAATCACTGGTTCTCTTCAGCCCCTGTCATGACAGATTAGCATTAATAATTTAGAGAACAGCAGCATTAAAAGTAATTACAAACTGTCAGAAAGATACAAGAAATATGACATAGCTCAGAGCTTCTTTTCAGACCTCAAATATTATTTGAGGGGAAAAAATAATTACATTTTCCTGTTCATTTCCTAATACAAATAACTTAGAATATCTCATAATTCTTGAAATTTGCAATTAATTCATTGAAAAACTAATGTCAGGTTGAAAGAAGGGCCTCACTGGTCACAGATTTCCACCATGGAATGATTCCTTAGGGCACATTCCCAATTGCCTTGTCAAGGCTCCTTTCAAATGTGTTAACACAGCAACATGAATAAATCAAGGAGCATTTAAAATATAAATGGCCTAAACTTTAATTGCACACGAGCTTAGCTTTTCCTGTCTAAATACTAAATAGAAGGACCTTACTCTTGATTCAGGTATGTGTTCCTGTAAATTTACCTCTGATGTCAGAGCATAGTAAAATCTTACAAACTCTTGTCCAGTTCACACCTATTCTGTCTTGTGTAGTATTTATATTCACGTGTAAAACAAAAATGGGGGCAAAATTCCTAGCACTTTCCTCTCTTCTCCCTCCTCTCCCCCTCTCTCTTTCCCCTCCACTGCCCCTGCCTCCTTCTCCTCCCCCATTGCTCCTGCTGTCTTTTCTTGCTTGCTTGCTGATGGTCCAATGAGAACCTGGCAGAAGCCAGGCCAGGGCTCTGCCACTGAGATTCAGCCCCAGCCCAGTTCACACCTTAAGGACATGTGTAAAGTCCCTCCCACAGCTTTCCCCTTCCTTCAAGTCGTCTCTCCTTCATTGGGCGTTGTCTTGGTGTCTGTTCTGCTGCTGTGAGACAGTATCCCGGAGGAGCAACTCAAGGGCAGCAGGGCTTCTTTTAGCTCACAGTTCCAGGTTACAGCCCAACATGGCAGGGAAGTCGAGGGAGTGGGGTCTTGAAGCAGCTGGTTGCATCATATCCACGCCAGAAAGCCGAGGTGGCAAATGCTGGTGCCGCCAGTTCCCTTTCCCCACTTACACGTGGCCCAGCCAGGGACCTGTGCCACCCACATCGACTGATCTTCCTACACCAATAATGCAATCAAGACAGTCCCCTGCAGATACACCCAGAGACCCATCTCCCAGGTGATTCTAGATTCTGTCAAGTTCACAATAATATCTGACATCACACATGTGCTCCAACCTGAGGAAAACAAATTCAGAAATGGTCAATTGTCTTTTATTCCATAGAGAGAAGGAGTATTGGGGTACCAGTGTCACCAGTGTTAAGGACCTTTGTCTAAAAACTAGTCACTGCTTTGGCTTACAAAATTTACAGCTCATGAAACTGAGCATTTGAATTAGACATGTGTTCTGTGGCAATCATATCATCCTATATTTGTTGTTTTATAAAAATAGAAAATTCTTAGCAAAACATTTATTAATAATTCAGTAGATTAATTTGATCTCAAAAGTAGACCCTCAGTAGCCAACAGATGGAAGTAGACGAGAATGGGAATGTGTATGGGGTGACGCCCTCATCTTTCTACTCTCCCAATGCCAGGCATATTGTAGAGTACAGAGGACTGGGAGGAGGCAAGGATGTCACATGAAAAATAAGGGGATGGAGAAG